GCTCAGCCCAGCTTAGCCCAACCAGCTAAGCTTGTTCAGGTCGGTCCCGTCCAGCTCAGCGCAGCCCTGCGAGCTCAGGTCAGGTAAGCTCAGCAGACAGTGTCCCAGCTTGGCCTAGTTCCTCCCAGAGAGCCCGAGAGCACCCATTTTGTCCTGAGTGGAGAGCTAGCTCACCCCTGCTCCTGCGTTGGCCCAGCTTATTTCAACCAAGCGCAGCCACGTCCAGGTCAGCCTGCTTCAGCTTAATCCCATCCTGGACCTCCCAGTGCAGGCCACCTCAGCTCAGCTTGGCCTCACTTTGCCCTGCCCCCAAATAAGTCCAGCTCCGCCCAGGTCAGTCCAACTTAGGGCTTAGGATAACCCAGCCCAAGCCTGGCTCCGATGAGGCTAGCTCATTTCACTCTACCCAGCTCACCCTAACTCAGCCCACTGAACTCGGCTAAACCCGCCTGGCCTGGCCTGGCCCAGCTGAACCCAGTTCCGGCCAGCCCAGCTTAGCCAGCCTGTCCTCTAAAGGGCCAGGGTAGCGCTCTCAGTCCATCCAGCTCGCCTCAGCGCAGCCTGTTTTGGCCGCTTAGTCCACTCTGCTCAGCCAAGGCCCCGTCATTCCGTCCAGCTGGCCTGGCCCACATCAGCCCAGAAGATGTGGGCTGAAGCCAGCCAGTGGCACAGTGCAGATCACTGCTGCTGCCTCCCACCCTCCCTCCTGGCTCTGGGTTGTGTCCCTGTCCTGGGGGTGTCTGCGCTCAGCCAGCCCTGCCCAGCGTGGGGCCTCTGACCTTCCCATCTTGGGCCCAGCCCTGTCCCAGCCCCTTGCTTTCTCCTGGTTGCCGTTAGGCTGCTTCTAGCTTTCCTGTGTCCCTGTGCAGGGAAGGGGCACCTGTCATCCATGCAGTGGCCAGGAAGCTTGGTCTGTGCCGTGAGGGCAGTCCAGGAGCCCCCGCCTTGTCAGGGGCCTAGGCAGCCTGTCCCTCACTTGGCCAGCTCCTTGGTCGGGGTTCCCACCTGAAGTGCTGGGTCCTCCGTCTGGTGCCCGTGGCTGGTGTGGCTCGTCCGGCTCCCTGTTAGGTCCCTGGATGGCTCCCAGGTGATCAGTAACCATAGTTGTTATTTTTATGCCAGGCAGCAGAGCCTGGATAGGGGGAGCTCTGCCTCAGTGCTTTCAGCTAAAAATGGGGTGGGAACCCCCGGGGGCCTGGGCTGCCCTGGAAATTCCCTTTTCTCTCTGTTCTTGGGAACTTGATTGAGCAACCGTGGAGGCTCGGGTGAGGCTCCGTGACTATGCACGTGCGCCCGAGTGCTGGGCGAGGCCCTCTCCTCTCCGCAGCCCGACCAGGGGCCCCTGCCCAGCTCCTGGACACTCACTCTTGGTGCGTCTGTGGGCTTGGTGGTGCCAGTCAGCAAGCTCGGGGTCCTGCTGCCTGGAAAAGGGAGAGGGCACCGGGCATCGCCCCCTCTGCCCCTGGAAACCTTGTGAAGACAGGGTGGGTGCTCTTTTGTGCGGGAAAATGAGGCACACCGAGGTGAACCGGCCCTTGGGACCGCTTGCCCAAGACGTGTGTGCAGGGCCTCCTGATGGCTGCAACCCTTGTTCCTGTGCCCTGCTTGGAGCTGGCACCCTGTGTGGTGGCCTCACCTTGTACTCACTCCCAGGTCACCGCTGTGCAGCCGGGAGTCCCCAGCTGGGCTGCTCCTCCAGGCTAGGACCTGGAAGCCTGGCCGGGCTGGCAGTGAGCTGTGCAGAGGTGGCTGGTGGCTCTGTAGGGTCCCTGCTGCTGCTGGAGGCTGGGTACACTGTGCCCCATCTATGCTGTGGGTAGGCGTGGGCACATGGAGAAGGCTGGCTTGGGCTCGGTGGCCTTCCCGGAGGCGCCCATGGCATCCATCCCTCATTGCAGCCAGTGCTCTGCCCTGAGTGAGATGATTTCCTTCACACTGTTGGCCTGCCTGTCCCCCAGAGGCCAGCATGCCTGGGGAGGCCAGCTCACCCGACTACCTGGGAGGGGTGAGGTGTGTAGAATCTTTGGTGAGGGAGACACCAGACCCCGCCCCCGGGTACCCACCTCTGGGACCAAGGTTGCCCAGGGCTGGTGGTCCTATGCAGGGGTGGAGAGAGAGGAGCGTCAGGCCTGGCGCCCTCAGGGGGCTGTTGAGCACATGGGGAAGATCTGGAGAGGGCCGCCGGCCGCCAGGAGGGCTAGGATTGAGGCTCAGAGAGACCAGGCCAGGGGTGACTGTCCTCCCTCCCAGGCTGTCCAAGGCCCCCATGCCCCGCTCTTGGCCCTGCCTGGGGAAAGGTGCCCTGTGGGAGGTTGAAGGGAACATGTTGAGTTCCCTGGAAGGGCCCAGGATTCTGAGAGAAACCACAGCAGGGCTGGCAAGGCTCCTGCCCCCTCTGGTCCCCAGTGCACCGTGTGCACTGTGTGGGTGTGGCTGGGGCTCCACCTGCCCCCATCTACCAGCTCACTTCCCCCAGGCTGGGCCTCAGTGCCTGGCCTGCTCTCTCCTGTTTTATCCAATGCTCCAAGCTGTGCTGGGCTGCCGGGGCCGGGCAGGGTGGGCACCCAGGAAGGAGGGCAGGTCACCTGCTGCTCCCGTAAGCCTAGGTTCCAGCTGGGGCTCCATCTCTGGTGTCTCCACCCTTGGGATCCCCTGGCTGTTCCTCTCCTGCCCGGTGTGTGGTCACCTAAGGCCAACAGGCACAGTGTCCCCAGCCCCTCCTGCCCTCTTCTGGCCACCCCAGCCCTGCGAGAAGCCAGCCCCGCCGGCCCAGGCCTTGAGCAGGGCCTGGTGTGTCCAGCTGCCCCTTTCCCTCAGTGACGGGGGCTAGACTCTGCATGAGAATGGGCCGTGTCTCAGCTCTACACACCTGTGTGTGTGCGTGTGTGTGTGCACGTGTCTGGGGCAGGGCAAGAGTCTGCCCTCCTATCCCAGGCCTGGAATGGCCCTGCCAGGGTGGACGGAGGCAGCGCATGTGAGGACATTGCAGCTTTGGCGTCTGTGTGTGGCTGGTGGGCTGGCGGGGGCGGGAGGACGTGGTACGGCGGGAGTCTTGGGCTCCCTGTCTCCATCCAGCTGCTCCCAGGGGGCTGTGCTCCTGAGGGTGCAGAGCAGCCCAGGGGGTCAGGAGGCTGTCGGGACGCTGGAGACAAGCGCTGGCAGGATGGCGGTGATTGGCCAAGCACGTGGCCAGGTGGGCTTCGAGCTGGGGCAGTGAAACACCCCCCAACTTTAAGTTTAAAAGTCAGATTTATTTAAGTAGTTTATGTTTAGTATAATCCATCCTGTTACACGTGTGAGTTTCAACAAATGCACAGTCATGCAACCACCACCCTGATCCAGATGAACAGTTGTAAGAGCTGTAGAATCTCTCCGGAAATTCCCCAAGGCCCCTTTGCAATCAACACCTCCCTGATTGCTAGGAATCCATAGATCTGCTTCCTGTCAAAAAGCTCAGACTTCATCATTAAAACCATCTACTACGGAAATATAAGCATATGAAACACGCAAAACCAAGTTTTAAAAAATGAGTTTTTTTTGTTTTTTTTGAGACAGAGTCTTACTCTGTCACCAGGCTGGGGTGCAGTGGCACTGTCTTGGCTCACTGCAACCTCCGCCTCCTGGGTTCAAGGGGTTCCCCTGCCTCAGCCTCCTGAGTAGCTGGGACTACAGGCTTGTACCACCACACCTGGCTAATTTTCTGTATTTTAGTAAAGACGGGGTTTCACTATGTTGGCCAGGCTGGTCTCAAACTCCTGACCTCTTGATCTGCCTGCCTTGGCCTCCCAAAGTGTTGGGATTACAGGTGTGAGCCACCATGCCCAGCCATAAAGTGAGATATTTTCAAAAAGTTTAGTATACAAACAAAATGAAGGTACCTTCACATTTTACTACAGATGTGCAGATATTTTTCCTGGTGCACAGAGATAAGGCAGAATTAAGTTAGAATAAACGTGTTCTAAAACTGACCTCCTGAAGAACTAGTCTTAGTCATTTCTTTGCAAAGTATGTGAACCAAGATTAGGGGTTTGGTCTTTGGTGTTAGCACTACGTCAAGGATCAGATAGAAAATACAAAGGGAGGGGCCCCCTTCTGAGGCCGGGCCCCACTGTCAGGGCATGTGGGGTGAGCAGGGGCCAACCCAGCTGAGGCTAAGAGGCTGCGCTGAGGAGGGCGGGGCTGCAGGTGCCTCTTGGACCCTTTGTTCAGGAGCGGGACATGTGTGGCCGGGTGGCAGCCTTCAGACCCTCCCCGGCAGACCGGTGCCTGGTGCCCACAACCCTCTGTTCAGTTGTCAGGCCCTTGCACCCAGTATGGGGTGCCACTTCTCCTGCTCCAGAGTTCCCTGGGACCAGCTGGCTCCTTGTCCTTAGTTTCGGCCCAAATGCAAGCCCCTAGTCTCCTGCAAATAACTTCCGTTCCCCAGAGCTTGCCAGGCCCCACTGCTGCCTGTTCCTTCCCGGGGCTTCTGGCCCATCCCGGGCCTCCTGTCAGTCCTGATGCTGATGACTCTCTGCCCACCTAGTTTGTGGCCCCTGCCTCC